GCATATGTGTATATATATATGTATATATGTTACGGTCAAAGCCCGAAGTGCGGCTAAAGCGCGGATTGTCCGGCCAATCCGCGCATTGGCCGGCCAATCCGCGCATTGGCCGGCTCTCTTGGCCAAAGCCTGAAGAACTTAGCACTAAGATCGTATTTCAAACATACACATGTTTTGCAGAAATATATTAAAGTATTTTATCTAGCTCTGCTAGAATAATAAAATCTGGAAAACAAATTATAAAACTTTACTTATTGAATACTATTTACAATAGTTTCAATGCCTTTTGAAAGTTTGTTTAAACCTGGCTCATAACTTGTTTTCAGTTTCAAGTACGCCTCGATATTTTTATTGTTAGTTGGCTTCTATACTTTGTATTATATTCATGCAAGAAAACTCTTGCTTGCATGAATATGTTGGCAACTTCTTCACATCACTGTAGCATCCTGGAAGATTATTCCATCTGTCACATAATAGTGCCCCAACTGCTTTTTACTTTCTTGTATATACAAAGTATAGAGAAAGTCTTGTAATCGTGCAAAATTTTTACAAATCTCGATGTTTTACATCTCACTGATACGGAAAAACATAATTTTGCAATCTTGTCCGTATGTCTGTGTGTCTGTCTGTGTGTCTGTCTGTGTGTGTTTGTGTGTGTAAACACGATAACTTGAGTACCGTTACAGCTAGGTTGATGAAATTTCATATATAAGTATTTTACCAAAATCGTAGATCCGTATCAACTTTTGAGCGATTTCCGATAACCAGAAGTGGTACTTTTTCTACTTTGAATTTTTCAAAAGCCTATAACTTGAGTACTATTTCAGATAGATAAATGAAATTTCACTTGTAAGTATAAGATCTAATTCTCTACCTTCTGTTAAATTTTGAGTAATTTCCGTTGACCGGAAGTAGTAATTTACGCTACTTCCGATTTCTCAAAAAACGAATGTAAATTTTTAAAGTACTAATAAAATTGCGCACTATTATGCACTTTTTTATTTGGCGTTCACTTGGTGTGCAATTCTTTTGTCTTCGATATTTTATTCTATTTTTAAAACTTTAAGTATTTAAAAAGGATTAAAAATCATGTCTATAGCCCGAGTTCCCATCCCCTGTTGTTTTATATAAGAATATTCGAGAAAGTTTAGGGGAGATCACTCCCGGTTTATTTATAATGCAAAAGTGTGACGTCGCACCATCTGAACTCCCCCCCCCCCCCTCCCCTCATCACACACCATCACAAAATTACGGACCCCACCTCATTAGGAGAAACCACCTCATTATGACTCTAATTCAGATTAAGTGAAGGAATATCTATATCTATGTGAAGCAAAGCATATATAATGGAGAAGCACACATAAGGAACATGTACCACCACAGGCGCATAGCGCAGCACTTTGGTATTCATTAATATTTCCATTGCTAAAATCTCAAATACTATTTGCCTAAGAGCATGGAGGTGTAAGCATTATAAAATAATTTTCAATTTAGTGGTATAAAAAAAAATGTTTGTTTTTGATTTTGCTGAAATCTGTAGATTAATTTTTTAAAGTTGAGTTTTATCAGATGGTTGTTCGATCATGAATTGTGTAAATTGATTTAGCTTTATAATTGTATGTCTGCATTATGTAGAGAACTAAACAATTGATGACTAACAGAGACCTACTAGTAGGTCTATAAGCCTCTCAAAGAGCCTAATTGTCAGAAATGTTAGAAATTTAAAGAACATTTAGAATGTTTTTTTTTTCTTTTCTTAGGAAGATGTGTGGAAGCAGCTTTTACTAGCAGCAATAGGGGAACAATTATCAGATGGGGTAATAGAGGGTAGGTTGTAGTTTTCTTTTTTTTTTTTTTAAATAAGTATATATTAAACAATGATACTTGAAATCAATATTCTAAGAATGAGATTATAATAATTAGGTAATTTAGTTTTTGAATCACTTTTGCACATTATTTGGGTTAATAAGAATTTAAGGGGGGAAAAAAGGCAATGTTATGTGATTATATAAAATATAAATTTTTATAGTCAGTTATGTGTTTATGAGAATTAAAATAGTAATACTGAAAAGCCTGATGCATTTTAACTAGTTTCAAAAGTAAAAAAAAACAACTGATTTCTGATGTGAGAGCCAAAACTACATCCCGGCTATTTTTACAATTGAAATTTTTTTTTTTGTGAACCACAATTTTCTCCCGATAATATCAATTTGACTGGGTCAAGATAGGTTACAAATATTAATTTGACTGGGGCAAGATAGGTTACAAAGGTAAAACTCCATTTTAGCGTATTTTATTCCCCGCTTCACGTTCACCTCCAGTTTAGCGTATTTTATTATCAACACTAACCAAAACACACAAAAACATTAGGAAAACACTAGCCTATTTCTTTATGAACTTTTGTTTTAATTTTTGATAATTTACTTTTGTCAAAACTTGAGAAAAATCCAAATATGGAATATTGAATGTGCACTCTAGATCTAGATTTGGCTTTTTTTTTCTCTTGAAAATAGGTTCGTGTCATTTAAGGAGAAACTCATAAATGCAAGTCGGTTAATTTTGTATTGTTAAAAATATCTCGTACTCATGCTACTATATATAAACTTATATGAACTCACGCCCTAAGGCCTAAGTTAATGACATATGCTAATAATTAAAGTGAACTCACAATGAACCCTTCACCATGGGCATATAGGGATTTTTCTCCCGGAGACGATCACAGGCTGTAATGTTTATAATCTTTTTTTACCTTTTCTATTTAAAACACACATTCATGAAAAATAATTAGATCCATATCCATCACCTACTAATCCTAGTGTTTTCCTAAAGTTTTTAGTGTGTTTTGGTTGTGTATATAATAAAATACGCTCAACCGGAGGTGAACGTGAAGCGGCTAATAAAATAAGCTAAAATGGAGTTTTACCTGTTACAAATATCAATTTGACTGGGGCAAGATAGGTTACAAATATTAATTTGACTGGGGCAAGATAGGTATACAGATGCACTTTCTTACCATTTACTAAAGTAAAACAAAAATTTAAATTACTGGTTAACTTGGTTTTAATATCTACATTTTCAATATCTCAAGTGTGTTGTCTCACTTTGAAAACTTGAGAGAACAATGGTAAAATTTGGCCACAAAAATCAGCAAACATTTTCTTGTTAGGTTAGGTTAGGTTTGCCTGTCGTCCCTACTGGGACATAGGCCGCTGACAAGAGCTTTCCAGACGTCTCTGTCCTGGGCTAGTCTCTCCAACTGTCCCCAGGTGTATCCAATCCTCTTGGTGTCTTCTTCCAGGTCACGTCTCCAGGTCTTTCTTGGTCTGCCTCTCCTCCTCCTGCCCTGTGGATTCCAGGTGAGGGCCTGTCTTGTTATGCTGGATACAGGCTTCCTGAGTGTGTGGCCAATCCATTTCCATTTTCTCTGGAGGATCTCTACTTCAACTGGCAGTTGATTTGTTCGTTGCCATAGAACATCATTTCTGATGGTTTTAGGCCAGCGAATTTGCAGGAGCTTTCTGAGGCATGTGTTTATAAATGATTGTATTTTCTTCTTATTTATAGCAGTTATTCTCCATGTCTCAGCTCCATAGAGTAAAACAGGTTTTACTAGTGTGTTGAAGGTCCGGATTTTATTCCAAGGGTTAAATCTCCAGAACCCCAGAACCCCAAACATTTTTTAGTTGGTTGAAGACTGCTCTTGCCTTGCCCGTCCTTATTTTTATGTCTGCTTCTGTCCCACCCTGCTTATCAACAATACTTCCAAGGTAGGTGAATCTATCCACTTCTTCTAGGGCTTCTTCTGCCCATGTTATAGGGTTGCTGTTTGATGCATTGACTTTGAGAACTTTACTTTTCCCTCTGTGGATGTTCAGGCCCAAGCATGTAGAAAAATTAGCAACCCTGTTGGTTTTATCCTGCATTTGCTGTTGTGTGTGAAAAAGAAGGGCCAGGCCGTCAGCAAAGTCCAGGTCATCCAGCTGGTTCCACAGTGTCCACTGTATACTGTTTCGCGTTTTCTCTGTTGACATCTTCATAATCCAGTCTATGGCCAGCAGGAACAGGAATGGTGAAAGTAGGCAACCCCGCCTTACTCCGGTCCGTACTGGGAAGGCCTCCGAAGTCTGTTGGCCATGCACTACTCTACATTTCAGACCTTCATATGAAGACATAATAATGTTGACTATTTTCTGGGGCACCCCGTAGTGTCTCAACAATTTCCACATTGACTGTTGATCCAGGCTATCAAAGGCCTTCTCATAATCTATGAAATTAATATTGACAGATGAGTTAGTGCTAGTTTCTATATCTGCTGTCAGTGCTTCTGCCGGTACACCATCTATTTCTGGAGCCTTCCAATTTTTCAGCTCCTTTATAGCTTTATGTATCTCTTCTTTTGAAGGTGGGTTGCAGTCTATAGGGAGGTCACTTTCAGCTGATGGTATGTCTTGCGTGCACTTTGGTGTTGGTCTATTCAGTAGTTCTTCAAAATGTTCTGCCCATCTCTTCCTCTGTCCTTCCGCATCAGGTATTATCTTTCATTCTTTGGTCTTCACTGGCCTCTCTGGCTTACTGAACTTCCCAGATATCTTTTTAATTGTATTGTACACGTCCCTAATATTACCATGGTACAGTGCTTCTTCCGCTTCTCTTGCCAGCAGTTCCAAATAACTTCGTTTGTCTTTCCTTATGCGTTTCTTGACATTTTTATTTGTTTCGTTGCATTCTTCCAGTGCTTTTAATTTAGCAGCCCGTGTGCGGCTGTTGTTTAATGTTGCCCTCTTTCTTTTTCTCTCTTCAATAATTTTCATGGTATCTGCTGATATCCATTCCTTCGCTTGTCTTTTGATAGGGCCTAGAACTTCTTCGCATGTTGATGTTAATATGTTTTTAGTTTTTTCCATGTTTCCTCTATCGTCTCTTCTTCTATTACTTCTTGTAGTACCTGAAACCTATTGGACATATGAAGTTTAAATTCATTGAGTTTAGAGGGGTCCTTAAGCAGGCCTGTGTTGTTTTCCATCTTGTTTTTCTTCAGCTTGAGTTTTACTTTAGAAAAAAGTAGGTGTTGGTCTGAAGCAACATCAGCTCCTCTCTTGACATGTACATCTTGAAGTGATCTCCTGAACTTTTTTATGATACATATATGGTCTATCTGGATTTCTTTAGATAGGTTGGGTGATACCCAAGTAGCTTTATGTATCCTTGTGTGATGAAAGAGACTACCTCCAATCACTAAATTATTTGTGACAAATCTTTCTCCGTTTTCGTTCATCTCACCTAAACCCTGCTGTCCCATACATTCTTCATATCCTCTGTTGTCGCTTCCAATCTTAGCATTGAAGTCGCCGATGAGTATAAGGATTTTTCTTCTTGGTCATTAGCCTGTTGTAGAATTCGTCTTTGTCCTCCTCTTTGCTGTCATTTGTTGGGTCGTAGGCCTGTATTATGTCCATGTTTATTAGTCTTATTTTAGTTTTAAAGGTAGCTGTTATGATCCGCAGGCAGTGTGCTTCCCATCCAATGAGAGCCCTTTGTGCTTGGTTTGATAGCATGAGTTCAACTCCTTGAGTATGTGGTTCATTCTCATCCTCATGGCCTGAGTGCAGCAGTAGTTCTCCTGTTATCAGCCTTTTTTGTCCTGAACCAGTCCACCTTGATTCGCTGACACCCAAGATAGCTATTTTATATCATCTCATTTCTGCTGCTACTTGGGTTGCTTTTCCAGCTTCGTACATCGTGCGGACATTCCACGCTCCAATATTGATTTTGGACCTGGTGGAAATAATGGTGGTAGACCTGGTAGTTTCCACTACATATTGGCTTTCACCACCCAGCTTCATAAATTCTCCATCGGGAGATCCATTCTTCCCCTGGTTCGAGCTGTCTTTGTTTCTTTGTCTGTGTTCTACAGCGAGTTGCTTTTTTACGATATAAGGTTCTGACCTTATGCTCAACCCTCAACCTGGAGGACCAGGGTGCTAGCTTTCGTCTGACCCCTACCCGCGCAGACCTTCCCAGCTTGGTTGAACCTGCCAGGAGTTAACACACCCGCTGGTATAACTCTGGGGGTCGTCAGGGTACACAAGCTGCCAAGCCACGACAAGGCCCTAGCACCAGATGACAGATTTTCTTTTTAGGTCACCATTAATAAAATAAAAGTGTCCCTCCAATACTGGAGTAAAATTCTCTAACTGAAAAAGTTTTAAACCTTTTCTCTTATCTATTTTTTCTATTTTCTTTATAAAAAATGTTAGTTGTGACAAGCATTATTCTTTATAAAGTTATTGCTTTTGGTTACTGAAAATCATAAACTGTGTTATTATTTATCATTTGTATATGATTTATTTTTCAGATGATGATATTATTGGTGTAAGTGTAAGTATCCGTGACAGGGATGATCTTGTTTTAATTTGGAATAGGTTTGCACACTTACGAGATCAATCAACTGTTGTTCAGAAAGTTCAAGAGTTATTGCCTCATGTTGCATTCAGCACAGTATTTTATAAAGGTACACATTTTTTTTCTTTATTGATTGTCTCTACTCTTTAAAATTCATTTATTCAAATGTATTCAAATACAATGTTATGACTTTTAACCTTCACTGTATGTCGTAATTTATTATCTTCGATATGGTTTGGGAATCCAACCACGTATATTTTTATTGCAAAAAAAATGGAAATATCTTATACTTATGCAATACCAATTTCAAATTTTTTTATATGCATTACTGAAAGTTCGTCTTAATTGTGTCAGTATTAGAACACTACAACTAGTATGTTATACAGTCATACACAATTGTTGTGCATTGATGATGTCGCTTACCTAGAGGAGGTGATTTTTATTAACTTATTGTGAGGGTAAGGGAGGTAGAAGACTTAAGAAATTTGTCAGCTATAATAAACAAAGTTGTAAGCCTGCTTTATTTAAAGCATATCATACCATTTCAAAATACCAGCCTGGTATCAAGGAACGTTTTTATAATTATGGCATATCAAAGTACCAGTTTAAGTTATCAAAACACATTCCTTACATATTTATTTAACAGTTACACAGTTCAAAATATCAGCTTGTCTTATGTAATGACTTATTAATATACCAGTTTAACTTATCATAATTCTAGAACGATTGAAAACTACCTGCAACACTTACTAGACTTGCCCTACTTAAATGTTTACTGTACATGTTATGGGTAGGCCTATATGGTACATCTTCTGAGTCGCTGGGCACAAAACCACACCCCTTCGTGTTCTGGACCAAGTTTCTGTTTATACCTGGGAACATTTTCTACACAGAGCATGTATACTTAAGCTTTCACACTCACAGAACTTGTTATAGAAAATTTTATAAAACTAACATGACCTTTGACCATAAAATAGCTCTTTCTTTTAATTATCTAGGCCGAATTAGCAGATAAGTAAAGTTTCCCTTTCAAACCTGACGGTCTATGGGGCAAGTGAAGTAGAGTTCACTTGTTTCTCTGACCTCGGCATATGAAGTGATAGTGTGGTCAGCACTATGCCCAGCCGCCTTTACTTTCCCTAACATGAGTTAGGTACCCATCAGAGTTGGGTGGACTCAGGGACGGTCTACAGACTTGAACCCGGATTTGAACTCGAGACTTACGAGTTAGCAGTCCAGCTCTCTACCGCTAGACCACTCCGTCCCACTGTCATAAGTGTAAAGAAGAAAAAATTATTTAAATACAGTTTTGCTTTTAAATGCATTTATTTTGTGCCATTTAAACAATTTTTCAGCATTTAGTATGCATGACGCATTTGAAGGTAAAAAGGCTCACATCCAATTCCGATGATGATCTTATTTTCTAGTAAAACTTGTGGCTTTAGGTAATTGCCCTAAGAATTCGTTTATTATGGTGTAGGCCCTATTAATTTCTTATTTTTATTCAGATAAGGATAATGTCATATTTTCGTAATCTTAATAATTTGTTTTAACTAATGTGTAACATACATTTAATTAATTTTTTTTTTTTTTACAGCTTTAAGATTTGTACAATTTTGGTTACATGGCTGTAGCTGATATGATCAATCCTCTATCTAAGGATTTTTTCTGGTTTCATTAGCTTTTATTAAATAACTGAATGGAAATGAATAAAGACCTCCTAAGATGGAAATGTTCTCATCATTGACATAGAGTAATATGTTACTTAGATGCCTTGTAGTCACGTTGCCCACTACTTGTGTTAAGCTTTCAAAACAAGCAGATTCAAATCAGATTTGTTTATTCCATTGAACAGCTACATTATCTAGGATTAAAAACATTTGAATGCATTGAGATTTCTATAGCGTTTTTTTTTTAAATTTTACAAAATTAGAATCAAAGCTCTTAAGCAACTGTGTGATAACATCTCATAAAGAATTTCAGTTACCGATGCTGTATCTGCAGTCAAAATATCAGTTATTAGGCTTATTCTAAATTATATAGCTATAATATTTCCAAATTAAATTTTATGTTAGAACTGATGGAAAATTCTGAATTCAAAATTTAATAAATGTTATTGTCTGCTGACAAGATGTTTACGATTTCTAGAACTAAGAGCAAAAGTGAGTTCCTAAGTCAAATTATCTAAATGAATGTCTCATGCTGTGGTCATTAGAATTTGATTCATGGCCCAGTTTTCAAGAGAGGTTAGGGAGGTAGCCATTTGTAGGTAAAACCAATAAAAAATAATTAATTAACGATGTTTGATATACTTGTTATATAAATTAACTTTTTATACTGACCTGTTTGACACTAAATAAATAATAAATACATGGATTTACCGTCAGCTTTTGACTTTTGGTTAAATACTTTACTAGAATGCTATTTTCCTGAATGGACAAATACCCGAATGGATGTCAGCTTTTGACTTTTGGTTAAATACTTTACTAGAATGCTATTTTCCTGAATGGACAAATACCCGAATGGATGTTTGTTTGCCTGAATGAAACAAATTTTATATATATACATTATAGTTCTGCATGAGGTAATTGAGGTAGAGTTAACCTGTTTCTGCTACCTTTGCATATTAAGATATAGTGTGGTCAGCACTATGTCCAGTCATCTTTACTTTCATTAAAATGTGATTCAGATGGGACCATCTACAGACTTAAATAACAGATTTCAACTTGAGACTTGTATGGGAAAACATAATAGTAAAAAATGTATCAGTTTGAAACCTGGGCCACATGAAAGAGATGCAAGTTTTGTTTCAAGATGAGATATTCAGCATTATCTGATTGTTAGGCTGTTTCTTTGGCTCTTTTTATAATAGGGTTAGCTTATGAAACCATATGCTCATGTATTGTATTCAAATTCAAATACAAAATGGATGTGAAAAGCATGGAGTAGCTACAAATGTGACAGCAGTTAACTAGTCTATAGGCCTATATATTTAGGCTTGTATATTGTTACGACCCGATCTACCTAGACCACGGGTTCCCAAACTGGGGGTCGCGAAGGGCTTTCTAGGGGGTCGCCAACTGGTATATTAAACTTTAAACCTTAGTAATGAGAAACAAAACATAAATATTTAGAAGAATATCTGAAATTCGGCTTTACTAACGTCACTGGAAATGGAATAGAGAAGTAGCAATGCGTAATGTACAAAGTTCTCAGTTACGAGTTTATGAAATCCTCAAAACTAAAACATCATTTGAGACGAGTCATTTGGAACACACCAAAAAGATATGGAGTTCTTTCGTCAGCATGAAGCCAGTTGCAAACGTCAGAGACTTGATCGAACAGGAAGTTTTCACCAAGGAAACACAGCATTAGTGCAAGCATCAGTGGCGGAACTAGAAAAAAAGGGCCACCCCGCAAAGAATTTTTTCGAACATGGGTGCCAGTGTTGTTTGTGGGATGAACGAGGAGGTCAACTGTGATGAGAATATGAAATGTTGTGAATGTGGATTGGAAGAAGTAGCAAAAGAAAAATGTATAAATGGGAGTCTAATGAACTGGGTTGGGTGTACTATGTGTGAAAGATGGTGTCAGGCGGTGTGTTTGAGGACTGTTTCAGAAGATTTTGTTTGTAAATTTTGTTTGTAATTAAAATTACTTAAAAAAATAAATTGCACTTTTTAGAATTGTTTATACTTTTACACTTTTTGCAAGTACAAAAATCCATAAATAGATGTTGCAAAATATCTCTCCTGCTGACAAGATTATACCAATTCACAATGACACAGCTCACGTTTGTATAAACATGAGCGGGCTAGATTTTTAAATTAATGCCGACTGAGACGGGAATTTCCTCTCGCTAACAAGAGCGGGCGATGACAGTAGCACAGCAACGATGTTAGGATTTTTAAATAGATAGATCTAGATATAGATCTATCTAGATCCTCTCTATCTTCTTAGTATCTAGATAAAAAATAACAACATACAACACTCGTGTTAAAGGGTATGGCTAAATGCTTGTTTATTTTAAAAAAAAAAAAAAAATAATTTAAATAAATAAAGATGGAAAAAAAAAGGAAAAAACTTTTTTCGCAAAAAGTGTCTCGCTATTTACCCTTAATTCCGCAGGTATGTCTCGCATTACCTTCTCGCATTTTCCGGCCTCGCCTTTTCGCGTCTCGCAATTTCCCCACACCCAGTGTTTCTTCCAGACTTTTTTCTCCGGGGGTACACTTGAAAACTTCGGGGGGGGGGGGGGGCGGTAAACTTTCTTCGGGGGGGGGGGGGGGGGGGGGCGAACACTGTTAAAAGTATATATTTTCTCTATAAATTATATAAATTTCATTTCGTTCGGGGGGGGGGGGGGGGGGGCGGTAAAAATTTTCCGGGGGGGGGGGGGGGGGGCTTCGCCCACCCGAAGAGATGCCTGGAAGAAACTCTGCCCACACCCGACCCATATATATATATATATATATATATATATATATATATATATATATATATATATATATATATATATATATAAACAAAATACGATAATACCAACATAAAGTACTCATTTTTGGATTGTTCGAGTTTTTAAAAAAATTCTTAGAATTAGAAAAAATATTAAAACTAGTTACAGCAACAAGTCATTTGTATGAGTGCTTTAAGTCTGTTATGAAAATCTCTGTTTAAATTTAGATCTGTTTTCTATAATGCTTCCTGTAGATAAGTAGGTCTAAAGAATATGCAGCATGAAAGCTTTGTATTTGCAATGGTTTCTTGCGTTATGTTTATGTTCTTTTTTATTTTTTTATTTATATTATTAGTTTTAAATACATTTCATTTTTATGCTTTGCTATTCTTTACTTTGTTTTTTTTAAAATAATCACTAAGAGAAGTAATTGCTCTTTATTTTTTTTAGTGCAAATCTATTAAAAGGTGCTTAAGAGCACACATATTTGACTATTTAAAAAAGGGAGATAAGTCATGGAAGTGGTTAGAACGTTTACCTATCTTTCACGCGATGGATTTATTTTCAAAAGAATTTTGCCGACAACAGAGTGTGTTTGATTGTAGGAGAAAGAGGACTCGGGATGGTGTCTATAGAATAAAGATAATGAAACCGCTGCTACAGTCTTCTTTTTACAAAACACAATCATCAAGTCAAAAATGCAAGAAAATTATTTTTTTTAGCTGTAAAAAAATTGATTATGGTCGGCTGTGGGCCCCTAAACGGCCCGCCCCCCCCCCCCCCCCCCCCCGCATTGCGGGGTCTGGCGGCACTGTAGTTCCGCCCCTGGCAAGCATCATATGAAGTCGCGATAGAAAATGCCAAAAAAAAAAACATAAAAAAACACAATATGAGAAATCTCATCAAACGCTGCATGTTGAAGATGGTGAAGTTAATTCTTGGGGATTCCAGTGCAGTAAAGATGCAACAAATATCTCTGCCTAATAATACTATTCAGCGGCTTATACCAGACATGTCCGTAGATGTTAAATTGAAATCAAGCTTTCACCATTGTTTGCTTTCAAGTTGATAAATCAACAGACGTGAGTTCGTGTTCGCAGTTGCTCGCCTTTGTCTATATTCATTCAGATGATAGCAAAGAAGAGTTGCTATTTTTAAAGATAGCTTGGAGAAAATAAATTAGTTTTTTTTTTTTTAAACTGGATGATTAAAATAGGTTAAAGCGGCTTGGGGGTTTGTACGGATGGTGCGCTATCTATGTTTAGGTCAAAATTGGGCTTTCAGAAAACAGAAAAGATTTAGCTCCCTAACCACTGTCCTTGCCATCAAGACTCCATTTCTAGTAAAAGTCGTAAATTATATTAAATCTGGAGCCTTCAAAGAACCGAGCAAAGACATGTATAAAGATTTCGAGAATCTGCTTTTCTACACTACAGTACGCTGGCTGTCAAACGAAATGCTGTGAATTGTGTTTTAGAATTGAAATCTGAAATGAAATTGTTCTTGGAAGTGCAAAGGAAACAAGACCTTTTGGTATACTAAAAACGATATTGAGTGGTCGGAGAGAGTATCATACCTAGCAGATGTGTTCGAACATCAACATAATCTCGGGGCATTTTTATCAAAGCTGCAAAATCTGCGAAGAAAATAAATCTTGGTCCGGACATGACCGTCCCCTCGGTTCCGACCGTTTCGGAAGGCTTTCCCAGCCATAAATCATGGGCTGTTGGCCGTTACCAGCCGAGTCCCCAAGACACCAGGTATGCACCGCCCACAACGTGGAACCCAATCAGCGGTGTGGCCGTCACGACCCAAAGATTCCCACGGCCAGCACTGGTCAGCCTCTGACCACCGCCAGGTTGATGGATGAGCGTGAGATCGCTACCCCAACATACGGGTCAACCCAGGTCAAACACCAGGTGGTCGTAGCAATATATATATATATATATATATATATATATATATATATATATATATATATATAAAATATATATATATATAATATATATATATAATGTATATATATATATTTTTATAAAAACAAATGTGTGTGCATAGGTATATGTATTAAAATGAATGGATGAGGGCATTAGTCTTTTTTGTGTAACCCATGGCTCCCTAAGAGGGCCTGACGATTGTATTTATTGTCACCATGGCAGTGGGTGATAGACATATTTTCAATGTTTTCATACCAATTACCATCTGGGCACTAGTGTGGACAAAGGAATGCCCCAAAAACGAAGATCCAATAGATGTAATGCACCAACATTGTTTACATTCAAATTACTCATTACAAGGTCTTGTCTAAAATTACCAATTAGTAACACATTGTGATGAAACTTAACATCACTTAGAATTTAGATGTATAGTACCAGATTGCAGCAATGCATAGTATATTATTAAGTTTGTAGCTAATATAAGCATAAAAAAAATAATCAGAAGTAGGCTTATTAATATAAAAACAACTATAAACACTTGAAAATATATAGTCTACATTTATTTCTGTTTAGAATATTTAGAAGAATGGACTAAAAAGCTATAAATATAAAATGCATTGGATTATATTAAAATACAGATGCAATTAAAGTTTAATAATTCCATGCTGGTCAGTCAAACTAAAAATGGTAATTCCTGTGCACAAAACTTACCTTTCATAAGTTTTAAGTTAATATGTTACATCTAACTTTAAAATTAAAACAATATTTTAAAGAGAAGAAAAAAAAAAGTTGCCCAGTTGCCAGACTGTATTTAATACAGTTAAAAAAAAGAAGAAAAAAAAATTAACAGATTTTTAAAACCACTTATACTTATAAAAATGAAATGTATTCTTATTTTCTTTAACTTATTTTTTACCAACAAAAACATACAAAGTGATTAACATTAACCTATTTTAATAAGGTGATAAATTGTAAAAATAAAATGTGGACAACCTTTTGATGTAGGAATACTAGATCGACTAGATTACTTAAAATTGTATACTGTAAAATGTTTGTATTCCAACACAGCTGTAGGTCACTGTAGACTGTAGGAGAACCATCTTGACAATCCATTTTAGATTTTGTTTTGTTACAAAGTATAATAGGTGTTAATACTACTTTTACTAACCATGTGATATAATAAAAGCAATATTAAACAAATGGATAGCTGAGAGACTTATAGAAAGGAGGTGATTCACATACTTCAGAAATATGCATATCTTTAAAAAAAAAAAAATATATATGTAGTTCTTTTCAAGGTAGTTTTTGCACAGCCAACAGGAATTCAATGATAAATTTATTTCTTAAAATATTATAATTTCAAACTTTAACTATTCTAAATGTTGGGTTTCAATTAGCTTAATATTATTAAACAATGAAGTTATCAGGTTTCACAGAAGGAAAATAATAATGTTAAATTTGACATTATTGATGTATAATTTATAAATTGGAACAAAGTTTACAGTAAAAATTGTGGAATATTTTTATATTACGGTAAAAACAATTTTATCAGATCAATTTTTTTTCAATGTGTACTTTGAAAATTTAGGGCTGTTAGCTTGATGAAGATTCATTAGCAGCAGTAAGTAGTACTCCAGGAGTAGATCAATTGCCAACCTGCACCTGAATTTTTTTTCACCCCTTCATTTGTTGCTAGGAATAAAACAAGAATATCTGTAAAATTGAGCTTACAAATATGTTGAAAAACATTATTTATGAATATGTCATAAACAAGGCCTTAATTAGGTAGTCCAAACTGGACTATATATATATAAAGAGGTGTGTGATCAATACAGTGATCTAACCCATACCTTATCATTATGTTAAAAAATTATCTTTAAAGAACACAAAAACATTAGCTAATTAAAAAATGAATGATCGGAACTGCAAGACCAATAATTTAGTTATATGTAAGCTATTATTCAGAATATTCCACCTGTTAGCTATTAATTAGAAAAGTTTGGATTTTATACAAACTCTGATTTTAAAAACTTTCGTTATGCTGTAAAATTTTAGCCTTTATGATGACAATATTGATTGTAGACAACATATTTTTGTAAAAACGAATAGTGTTAAGGTACAATATTACATACTAAAGTAATTATTGATCTGTTTTGACATTTACAATTACGTTTGTAGAAATATACATAGTTATATATTAAGAGAGTGATTATTTCCCCTAGTTGGCTTGTCTTAATATTCTAGGAGTCATTATGTCAAATTGTGTTTTTTACAAGGATTACAAAACAGATTGTGTTGCGTTAATTGTTTTTTGGTTGTATTGTGTGTATATATTTTTTTTTTGTCTAGAGTGATAAATTGTTTTCTTTTGTCAGCCTACATAGTGTTTTATCTTCAGAGTAGTACTTTCAATTTATTTTACAACATAGCAAAGCAATGACATACAGCTAGTATATATATATATATATACTATATATATGTTTGTATGGGGTAGTCCATAAATGACGTCACACTCCTAGGGGTCCATAATTTTGTGATGGTGTTATGAGGAGGGGGGATTCAGATAGTGCGACGTAACACTTTTGCATTATAAAAAAGCTATGTTAGAAAATGAATTTTATATATTTTTTCTTGTTTTAGAAAACTGTTTTAATAAATTGCAATAGGAATTGATTAAAATATTCTATTTTGACAGAGTTCAGAAAAAAAAAAAAAAAAAATATATATATATATATATATATATATATATATATATATATTATGTTTATATATATAGGCCTATATGTATATATATATATATATATATATATATATATATATATATATATATATATATATATATATATATATATATATATATATATATAATACTTCAAAAAATTTGAACCCCCCCCCCCACGAGAAGATCCTGGCTACGCCACTGATCAGTCATATCAATTATCATCATAGCCACTTAAAAAACAAACGCGCTTTTTCACAAATCATTTTCTAGGCTACTGATTAAATTTGATACATAAAATTGGTATCAAATTGAAGTTATTTAGTTTTTGATTGTATAAGTCATCTTCTTGAACAATAATGAAGTTAAAAATATTATTGGACACCCTACATATGTACCCCCTGACCCTCCCCCCTCTCTCTGTGACCAGCAACAGAGGCCTGCCTTCTTGGCCAGTCGTACCACTTTAAAAAAACGACTACTTCATCCCAAGCCGAGCTCTAAACTGTCTACTCAAGATACTCTCAGTTTCATCACCAGGTATGTGACCTAGGGTGAACAGAGAAGAAGGGGGAGGTGCATTAAATGGCGCACCAGCCTACATTTAGGAAAAAATAGTGTGTAAAATTGAGAGGTAGGTAGGGAAGCGTCCATGCGCAATCACTCTTTCAATAAAGAATAATTTTAGACATTCTCAGCACATTCATATTTTTGTGTAAGTCATAAATGAATGACCACGTTGGTGCCTACAATAGGGCCATGGTAGCTTCTGATAGCACAAACAATGCCCGAGACACATGGCTGAACAGTGAGGGGTTTCTACATCACTATGGAGATGACTAATGTACAAGCAAGACTTTCATGCAGGCGGCATTGTTAACATTTAAAAACAAGCTAACGCATCTGAAAATCACAATTGGTAACATATTATGTTTTGCCAAGTTACACTTCCAAAACATAACGATTACTAACCCCTTGAATTATTACGCTATGTGTACTTGTTTTTACATTCATCAGAAGATCAAAAAGTGAGATCACATCTCTAAAATTACATGATTGATAACACATTGATAAAATCCTCTTAAGATATTTCGTCAGCCTTTCTTCTTTTTTCTAATGTCCTCGCAGCACACACAAAATGATAAACCGGGTCCCTACTAGCTTTGTGTTCTGTTTTAGAATATAAAAGTTATTTAAAGTCTTACCTCCATAAACTCCTGTAATGTAAGCTGGTGCTGGTGTTAGGTTACTCAGTTGAGCATCGCCATTAACAGGTACCTTTGTTCAATTATACATGTTATGTATATATATATATATATATATATATATATATATATATATATATATATATATACATGTATATATATATATATATATATATATATATATATATATATATATATATATATATATATATATGTATATATATATATATTATCTCTGATGTTAAAACCTTTTTTCTATCTTGATGATCAGACCAATTTTTGGCTGTTATTAGATTTACTTCAAGTTTTAGAATTTTTTTACTATTAACCCACTAGGCTATATACCTAACTTTGTTAACTTACTACTAACTATATAAGACATTAAAAGTAATAATACTTGTATTGCTGGTTGAAATGAGGACAGAGCTTTTGCCTTAGAAATATCACTCTGAACGCTTGAGTACCATCCTGTTCCATCTGCTGAGCTTAGATAATGTAGTCCATTGGCTGATACTCCAAACAGCCTAGGTTCAGCTGAATCATACCCTATTATTTCTCCAACCCGACTATCAATTTCTGCAATTTTAATAAAGTATGATATCATCAGAAACTCAATTTTTACACTTAGATCACCAACATGAAACGACCTCATTGCATATTTTTTACATTAAATATACAGTTTAGGATTGTGTAATAATTAAATCTTTATAGATCTACCAATCCCAATGTTTACAACAGACTATATTTATTTTTGAAATATTCTACAAGATCTATTAATTCATCCTGACTCTGAGCTATATAAGTCTCTCATACTGTCTCATATGTATGCCTGCCACATCTTTATTCCAGGTCAGGTCAGTATTTCACAGTATTCTGGGCCAACTATCAGTTTTGCGCCCCCTCTCTTATATATAGTGATTTTTACTGATCACTAACTCTTAGCAGTATTTAGTATGCTCTTACACAAAGGATGAAAACAAAAAATTAAGCAGTGTGTAAAAGTGGTGTTACAATCTATTTTTAAAACATGGATAGTGTATTATTCAGCACAAAAGGATTTCTTTTTATCCCTGTGGGGCTCACTAGAGTCAGCGCCCAGTGCAGCCACCACACCTGACCTCCCCTAGTCAGGGTGTTCTTGGCATTTTGCATTTTCTTTAGCATTGTAAATTCCAGGTTAGAGGAGTCAGCTTGCTGAGTGTGTTAATAACCCATCTCCAAATAAAGCAAAATTGATGATACAAAATCGAGAGCAACTAGTCTTCTCTATTGCTAGCATTCATTACAAAATATCTTTTTTTTTTTAAATAATACTTAAAATAGTTACATATTACTAAAATATTCCAAATAATTAACTTTATATTCAACAATTAGACATGTTTTTCTAGATCACTGTGTTTATAAAAATAATCAACAACAGTAGTAAATGTGTAGGTATTATTAAATGTCGATTTAATTACTGAAAATTCAAGTCAATTGTCATTGTTTTATTTTTAACTGGTATGATTTATTTCTTCTAAAAGTGTGCTTTTAGTTTACTTTAATACTTAACATCAAGCTAGAAATTAACTGTTTTAATTTCAAAATGCTTTAAGAAAAAACTTTATTATTCAAAAGTTAGGGGACTTTATAAATAAAGTAATTACAAAAACTGTCTAAATGAAAAAAAAATGTTTTAAAATTAATTTTAAATTTAGCAAACAAATAGGTTTGGTCAAACCATAGAGCAAACTACTGTTAACCCATATGTCTGGAGTTCAATTCAAGGTTCAAATTCTGAAGAATATTTAACACAAAATAAAATCGCTTAATTATATCACAGTATTATATGTTCCTGCTGTTATAGGCATGAAAAGTCTATGTAATCATAGGCGCTATGGTGCCTAAATTAGTTTTAAACAGTGTGATAGACTTAGGATATGATGGGGTGTCATTCACTAAATTGAATCAGGTGCATTCATCGGCACCCAGGCAGGGTTCAATTTGGCGCCCTGCGTTATCCCGTGAGCGCTGGCACTTGCGTTCCTTTTAAACAGTGCAATATACTATGGATACAATGGGGCATTATAATAGTTCACAACACTAAAACAGGTGCATCTGCCGACGCCTGGTATGGTGCGATTTTGCACCCAGGGCTATCCCTTAAGCACTATGGTGACTAGGTTCTTTTTAAACAGTGCAGTAGGCTATGGATAAGATTGGGTATTATAGTCGTTAAGTAAATTGAATTAGGCGCCTACATTAGTTTTAAGGAACACCCTACAATATTAACAGGCATTGTTTACATTAAAATATTTTAAATAACTCAGTTTTGGAAAACAAGGACACAAAAAATATAGGATTGGTAAAGTGTGATGAAAACCTCCTAATATATTTCGTCAGACTCTTTTCTAACACCATGGCAATGCTCGGGGACTGGCACACTCGTTACATTTATAAAATTTAACATTTCCCAAGTGTCCATGAAAAAAAAGCTAGCATGATATGGGTTATGGGCACACACAAATACTGGCTACTCACACATACCTGTCCAAGATAAATCGTCATTTGAAGAAAAGCACTTTTGCTGGATGCCGCTGAATAAAAAAAAACATCATGAAATTGCAATTTGCTATTGCTGTGTAATTAAATCAGGTGATGTAATTTGTTTAATGATGTAACCCTCACTCAGTGGGGATGCTTTTACCCACTGAGGTGTTGTGGTTAAGACGGGCTGACCCTGAGATTAAGTACACACTGATACCGACAGTTGTTGTCAAGTACTCGCTTTATTTACAGCATCGAGCCATGACGGCGATGCAACACAGTAGTACAAAACAAACTAGCCAAGAAGAAAAAATCCAAAAGACCAAAAGACCAAAAGCTGTAGCCCTAAAACAAATGTAAATAAAAAAAGTTACATTCCTGACAACACCATGTGTAGGCTACAATATACACGGGTAACAATAAAATATGTTTTGGCCAGTACACAGTACTGCCAACAAGTACCAATACGTAGTACTTCAAATAAATACTTATATTAATACTCACCCTAACTAGTGTGCACATGCAGCACTAGCAGGAATACACAACTAAGTATTTTAACAAACATAATTTATATAACTACCTTCATTAGGTCTACATCTTGGTCCACAGACAGCAGCCTTGCGTGTGCGACACGGCTAGGCATGAAACTACCCACAATCCCATGTCACATGACATGGAACACAGGTAATTTGGCTCACAAAAGCATAAAAAAACAACGTCAACAGTTCAGTTACGGTCCCACAGGGGCCGCAACCCAATGAATAAAAACTTCATATTTTTATCCCCCTTTGGCTGGTAACCATATGTGTTACAATGATATTACAAAAGAAAATTTTATGGAGACAAAACACTGAGCTAAAACGTAAAAGTGAAACTTGTTCCCAAACTTTTCTTGGGTTAAAATGTATTATATAAAAATAAAAAAAAAGCTAAGTGATCCAAAATCATAATGTCTTCTTAATGCTCTTAATAACTCAGTGCTATAATGGAAAAACCAAAAAAAAATTTTGAGGCATCTTAATCCTTTTCACAACAATTTTTAATAACTCAAGTAATTTGTTGACTTACAGGTAAGAAGAGACATTTAAATTATTTACTTTTTTTCAGACAATATATCTTAGCATTTGCAAAGTTCTCTTGATTTTGCCTTAATGTATCTTTTTAATAGGTGTATTATAAACATTTTTTAAAATTTTAACGAGTTGTAATTATGAAGAGGCTATAGCACATATCAAAACTCACTTATTACTTTGTATTCCATCACACACATAGAGGAATAAGCCTGCCTTTATAAGTGATCTTCTGGAAAATTCACTTACTGTTTAAAGAGATTTACAATTATAAGGAATGTTAAGAAACCAAAATTAATAGCTACACCCAATATTTATTAACTTGCACACACACACACATACATAAAAATATACATACATATATATATATATATATATATATATATATATATATATATATATATATATATATATATATATATATACATATAGATATACATATATATATATATATATATATATATAGATACACATATATATATATATATATATCTATATCTATATATATATATATATATATATATATATATATATATATATATATATATATATATATATATATACATAAAAAGTTGCATAAAATATATAATATGTAAGCATATATATATTAAAACAAAGAATGTATATTCGACAACTAAATTACTTACATTTAGCTGGTGCTTTGGTCAAAGATGCACAGGGGTCTGGAAATGAAGTATGTATTAAACATTACAACAATACATAAGTTTAAAGTTTTAATACCTTTTCTTTATTAGCGCAATAGCAACGGAATGGGAATTAAAAAAATGCTATTTTACTTAAAATAAAGATGATGCTGTGATAAGTTGTGACTGTCAAAATTTATAATCAATAACAAACTTGCTATTGTATTGATAATATCGCATAGTTCATTATCATTGAAAAAAGAGATCAATTACACCACAAAGTTTAAATACAATCTGTTCAAACCAGAATAAAATGTATAATCTTAGGAGAATGCTTTTAAAAATATTTTTGTAGGTTTTTTACTAATAGTTATTTGAATTATTGATTTATTTAAAAAAAATTAAAGGCATGCATATTTGCATATGTACAAAATGTATAATAGTTTGAAAAATGAATTATGAATCAGTTATGATGTATTCTAATAAATGTAATTTTGCTGCTGATTACATTTATTTTTGCAGCATGGAACAAAACTTTAAAAAATTTTTTAACACAAATAAATACATTGGACCCTTGAGTTTCATATTTAACAATTCACTTTCTATATGGTATTTATTAGTGACAGAAACACTGAAGGAAAAGGGAAGTGGGTGGAAGAGCTCCAGATACCAGTTTCAGGGCAAGTAGTTTAGTACTTGTATACTCAACTGGTGACTGTAGAGACAGATGGGGTCAACCAAGGGACAATTATTAAACATGCTGCACTTTTATTTATATTTATCTAACATTCAACTTTTGCACATCTTTCCACTAAGCTTAAAATGTTAGCACTTACATTTGCCATGCTATTTAACAAGTGGCAGGAGATAACTATGTTATTGCATAGCTGTTTATGAAACTTAATGCAGAGATAAACAACACATAAAATTCAACACAAACATCCTGTCAACCAAAGTAGCACAGAAAGAATTTATGTACCAAACAAATACTAACAATAAGTATGCAGCACTAATTTTTTGGATAAATCGATTGATGCTACAATCGTATGAAACAATACATACAAACTATTAGAATACTGGGTAGAAAAAATAGGAAAAAAGAAATGTTACAATATACAAGAGCTAGTAGCACAAATAAACCCTGAAAGAATGAATAACCTGCATGACATGAAAAGAAGAAAGGAACCCATTAATCAAAGTTGCTTTCGGGCATTTGTCCCATTTCTTGCATTCAGTGTTTTGGGGCAAGCGTGTTGTACCATTGTATAACATGAAAAATAGTTAGTGACATTAAAACCCGCTCTACCAACTTTGTTCAAGATAGGGGGGGGGGGTGTTTGGTGAGCAGATAACTTTTAACACTTAAAAAAAGATTTTTTTATTGTAGGGATATCCTTTACAATAGTTAAGACAGTAATGATTTTGGTTTTAAAATATTGTATGGATTTTAAACAATTTTGAAGTCTATACTGTTTTGATATTTTCAGTTCGCTTTATTGTAAACTTGTCCTGATTTCTCACACCTCTTAAGTACCGACTTTCACAGCAGCCCTAGCATGCCGTCGAGAAACTCATAAATAAGGTGTAGCTGGCTGTCACTTCCTAATTATAGACACGAACCTTCTCTTCGGAGTTTCTTCCAGGCATCTCGTCATGTCTGGAAGAAACACTGCTTCTCTTGTGAGACCGCGATCATGACCGGTAATAAGTAGATGCTCTATAAACACAAACCTTCTCAGAAACGTAGTACTTGAACTTGGTGACCCTTTTCTTAGGGTTTGGCTTTCCATTGCAATAGATTTAAAGAAACAGTTATTCTTTACCTCGCCCCACCAACTGCCACCCACCCCAAAGATGTCTACATTTAAAGAATTTTTTTTTGAGATTGTATGAGAACTTACCAGATGGCTTGTCACTGGATACTACACATCCAATAAATTCAAATTTCAGCTTGGAGATTTTTGAATCATCATCTGAAGCTAGGATCATAACTCTCAAAAAGCGAGATGTTTGAGCAGATGGTATATCCACTTCTTCACTAGCACTTTGATTCAGCTGTATCTAAATAAAAATGTTCATTTGTTATGGAATTTCAAATACTTATGAATGCAATTATATTATAAATTAAATTATTTATTTTGAGATTTAGAAAATGTATATCTTTGTACAACAGGTAGACCTCAGATATTTTGCAGTAGCTTCATTCAAACAAAAATCTGTATACAATGTTGCTATTTAAAATAATCCATTTTATAATGGGTGCATTTATAAAGAGTTAGGATTCATGTCTTCAGAAGTATGGTATTAAAAGGTACTATACAATGTGTAAATATAAATTTACAAGATAAATCATGATGTTGATTAGAAAACTCAGGCCTACATGTAGTAGGCATAGTTGTAAAATCATAATACAATAATTATTGTATTTTTTTTTTTAGCTAAAACAATGGAAAGGTTTTTACAAATCATCTTCCAAAACTTTTTTACATTCAATTTTTTCTTCTTGGCTTGGTTTAAAGGAATAATTTTTTAAACTCCTGGTTATAAAAATCACCTCTTCTTACTTTCAATAGTTAAAACCATATTCATATATATATACTTTTTAAATATATAAAACAAATAGAATAAGCAGCAACACTGGATATATTCTTTTTGTAGTAGCAGCTTTGGAAATACATTATCAAAGCTAGTAATTGTAGTGTATATATGTGCTGTTGCCTTGACAAAATTATTTCACACGATAACAGTGTTATTTTGCATTATTTAAACTTATGTAAATGTCAGATTAGCTACATATACTTTAACAATGATATATAAGAATAAAGATGATGCACTTATTATTTATTTATAATTAAATTAGATAATAGTTGTAACATAGAATAAAAGCAGAAATAAGTAGATAATAATGCCTAACAAACCTGACAATTTAACGGCCATTCCATTGATTTAATAGCACAAAAGCTAAATAAAGCTTACCATATTTTCAATCTTTGTTGACCAAGATTGACCATCATTACTATATCGCAAATTTATTAGTTTTACTTTTGTATCTCCCAGCTGTTGTAGTTTAATCTTTGAGACAATTGTTTTATTTCCAAAATAAACCTGAAAGAACCTCTCTTCTTTAACTTTTCCAGTATGAATAAAGGGTGACCATCCTTAAATTAGAGAGTAGTATATAATTATAATTTTATGTATTGTGAATCAATTTTTTTTTAAAAAGTATTTAACCAATATAAACAATATTCTTCACTATTTTAAATTTAATATTTGAGGATTCCACTTGCAAAACCTGCTGTAGGTTACTTCAGATTAATTTTACAGAAACACTGATTATTAAATCTCAATGTTTGTCCATCTTAGGATTTTCTAAAAATGTTATTGTTGAATATTAGCTTTTAAGTATAACCTAATAAACCAATTTGTATATATTTGTATAAAACCAATTTGTTTATATAGTTTAAAAGCCTAATGGGAAAACTAATTTCTTTTTAAAGTCAACTAAACAAGTTTTGCAAGTGAACTTCTAATTATTTACAGCTTTTTAACAAATTCAAAAGTAATTAAATTGTGCATACATTTTTATTTAGTGTTAAATGCCTTTGAAAAGAACCCTTTCAGATCTGACAGTCATCTGGACAGATGGAGTTAGATATCTCACCATGGCAAATAAAGGAATTTTGAGATCTGCACCATGCCCACTTATCTTTAGTCTGGTACCCATAATTTATGCCCCTAGATGCACCGATGAACATCACATAAAGTTTTGATTGCAAGAACCAAAATTGTTTGCTCTAACACTGAACTTTAGCTGACATTTTGACAGAACTGTTATTTTTGCTATTATATTATCTTATATTTTTTATAATAATTGGAACTAACCTGTGCCTAAGTTATAGCGCCCTTGAACTGCTTCTGTAATTGAAAAATCAGATGCGCTTAACTGACAGTCTTTTATGGTCTGCGCTTCCATACCAAGTGGTCCTGTTGTACAGTCAGCTAAGAATTTGGTTAAATGAATTAATTTATAAGTCTTAAGTCTATTTTTGGGCTAATACAATAATACTTATGTTAAGGGGAAATGGAATATTGTTTTATCCTCTGAATTTCTTTATACTAGGCAATGGTAGTCTTAATGTTATCTTAAGCTTCTGACTGTTATCCCCACTTATATTTTAACATATGGTAATCTTAATATTAATTTTTAATGAAAATTTAAAATCTAATAAGGGTAAAAATGATATAGATAATAGATACACCTATCTGCGTAGTTTTAAAGAAAAACTTAATAATAATAATAACAACAACCCATTTCTACACCCTTGCTTAAAAGGTAGTGAAATGAGATTGTATTTACTTTTAAATATACTTTTAGGGTAACATTAAACTGAACATATTCTATGAATGTTTAAAAAGTAACAAAACTTTTACTTTCATTTTCTACTTACTTCCACTTTCTGGTTTTGTTGTTATAGTGAAATTTAAATAATCTAAATCTCCTGTAACATCATTTTGAATAATTGTGTTAGCAACTGGTTGATAGCTGAAAACTACATCTATTCCCGTCACATCAAGTGGAACCAAGTAAGTAGTGTTTGGCTCTAATACTGTCTTTATACAAACCACATCAGTAAAGAATAAAGTTCCTAACTGTAAAAAGTGGTAATGAGTTGTAAAAATTAAAAAGAATTCTAAAACACCTTTTAAAGTACACTGAATAACTCACTTTAAATATTAAACAAAAAGTTTCAGAAGTAGACATTAGTATATTATTACTAAGTATAGTAAGGAAGCATTCAAAAAATAAGACTTTTACAGTCAACCATGAATTTGAATAAAAAGTAGTTCTAGGAAGAGAAATAATAAAAAAACATAAGCAAATTAACAACTTACTTCTATTGAGATTGCATTGTTTGCATTAAAAACTTGTATGATGGATTTGTCATTGCTTGTTATTGTTGAAGTGATATATGACACAAATTGTGGCAGGAACATATTAAGAACTGTATTCTGTCCTTCAGCAGTAGACATATTAGAAAGTCTTAAGATAGTTTCTATTTCCACTCTGTTACTGATATAAAAGCATTTCTTTGTTATGCTTTAAAAAATTAAATATAATTAAAACAACTGTTATCAATTATATATCCTATGACTTTAAAAAATTTTTTTATAATAACTTCTATCAACTTTATCTCACTTACTTTGTGGAGGTTGTGTCATTCACAACAGATGAAACATTAAAAATCAATGATTCCTTTCCAGTTCGAAGAACAACAATCGTCACATCAAGTATAAATATGACATTGGCAACATGAATACCAAAGCTGACTTTATGAGATGAACCATTTACAGCCAAAGCATGATCAGCCATTTGCATAGTCACTTCTATGGTAAAAGTATCATCATCAGCAGTATAGTCAGCAAACTTTTGCATCATACCTATACAAAAATGGCATAATTTAGGAATAATGTGTTTTAAATTTTGAATGAAAGTGTTATTGTTTTTACAGGCAGCTATTTAAATATTTTGCTTATGGTTTGTTGTGATGAAAGAAATACTTCATCAAATTGAAATGTACACAATATTTGAATTTAAACTCCCAATCTGACAGGCATCTCTGTAGCTGATCACAAAATTAAATTGTGTTACCCTTACATGTAAAGGTCATAAGGGGTAATGTCTATAGATATGTAGGATATATTTGAAAACTAAAGAAATAATCTTTAGAAAAAAACTGCTTAATGAATAGAAAATGTGAGATGATTAATACCACCTTTTATTCTTATTTCTTAGAAGTTTTACAAGATAATTAGAAGCTGTTGTTTCGATTTTATCAGTCTTAAAAAAGCTAATAGTTTTCAATGATTAAATGCTATTCGATGATGCAAAATAAGGGACGGTTATTCTGCTAACCTGAATGTCTTGAATTCAATTCTGAATTCAAGTCAATGGAACATCCCTGAGTCCCTTATATTTTATTATAATACGATAAAATGAGCACAGACTAACCTCCATTGGAGACGACACCCATGGTTGTCTCATACTTAGTAATCTGTGATGTATTTAGCTGAGATGTTTTTGTAGTAACAAAACTGCCTTGATACTTAACAAGAAGTGGAATATTTCTGCCACTTTGAACAAACTTCACATTGTTTAAAGTCATTATAGCTGAAGTGTTAACAGGCATAATCGCATCAAACCAAACCTAAAACAGAAGTTAAAATTTAAATAATAAACTATATGTTTTGGACTTTATGTTTTCTATGACAGTGCTCAGAAACCATATGTTACATATTTTCACAGTATACTGTAACAACAGAAGGTATGTTGAGATCAAATGAAGTTTTTAGTGGTAAATTAAATACTACAGTCTACACCCTATAGGATCTCTGAGTCAATAATAATATGGAGAATTTTTTTATGAATTTTATTTAGTAATTTAAGTATCACTTTTTCTAAATCATAATTTCTTAGCAGAAATTAAATGAAGTAAAAGCATTAAAAAAGTTCAAACAATAAAAAAAGCTCTGTAATTTAAAGAAAGTATTCCTAACACTTTATTGTCCTAACATCTACTTATAAGTTTTGTAGTATCAATCCATCACTAAAAATGGCTGCAGCCATGGTTTTTAAAAACAGATGGCTATACAAGAATTTATTTAAATTAATGTGGGTACTTGTGGGGTTTTTTTTGGCTGATCAGTTCTTGTTTACTTAGTTTTCAGTAGGCCTACACATGTGTTAAAATGCAACCAAATGATGAAAGCTAGTCAGTAGTTTATGTATCAGATTAGACAATTACATGCCCAAAAAAGTATATTTGGTCACATCATCAGAGTAGTGATGTGGGACTAGTTAAAATTAAAGATTAACAGGCAGTTTAATATTTTATCTTGAATCAAATAGAAATAATAGCTTCTTAAAATAAGTTTCAGTGTTGTAGTAAAACTGTTATATGAGCTAGCTTTTAAAAGTATCAAAACAGAGTCATTATTTTTTAAAGGCACATGTTTTCAATATTAATTTTATGACAGTCAAATGTCTATATGGGGCATATCAAGTTGACATGGAATACTTAATCGTGTTAGAAGAAATCCCTTCCATCATAACTATTAAGAACAAGAAGGAATTAATACTAATTTAAAAATTACCATTATTACCAAATTACAGCTATTCCTAAAATTCAAAATTATAATAATTGCTTTCATTTCCCAAGCCCCCCCCCCCCTCCCCCAAATAATACTAAAATTATTTGAGAATAATAAACGGAAGCAATTTATAGTATAACACAATTAAACACTTTTTGTGGTAAGATACAATAAATCACCATAAATTTACTTACCCTTGAGGAAGAAAATGCAGGAACTGTTAGAACAATAGGTAAAGTTTTTGTGGCCGCTATTGGAACCACAATAGGATTTTCAGTTGTGTTCACATAAGCACCATTTGTTACAGTTACATTACTCTTTAATTGAAGAAAAAAATATATTCACAAATGAATTAAGAGCAATAAATATGTTTATAAATAGGCTACTTCATTGTTTATTGCTTACACTCACGTAATCCATAAATTAAGCTTGATAGCAATATAAAATGTAAGGAATATATCAATATAATATGACTAATTTAATTTTTTAAGAAACAAAAAACTAACTATTCGAATATAAAATTAAACAACTGTAAAAACCTTTTTAAAATCAAATGTACAATACTTAGTAAAAGCATTTACATTAGACAGAAAATTTGTTAGATTTTTTAATTTTCAGTTTATAAAAAGCTTAATATTATATAAATTTTTATATTGCTCTATTTTTTTAGATATTGTAAAGATGCTTAAGTAATTCAGAATGTAAGTTTTAAATAGAATTAGTACCAAATCAACTCTTTTAATTAGGCTAATTTTAACTATGTCCAAACCCCGATGATTATAAATATTAGTTTTCTATAAATGTATGTATATATGTAGCTATATCTATCTGTCTGTCTGTCTGTCTGTCTGTCTGTCTGTCTGTCTGTCTATCTATCTATCTATCTATCTAATCTATCTATTGATGGTTGCACCTGATGAAGATTTAACACTGACTTCAGTAGTACCCCTTACCCGCTATGCAGGGAGCACGATTAACCGATGCCACGTGCTAACTTAGCCGCTCTGGAACTCTGGGCGCCAAATTATGTTTTGACGAAAATCGCAGCCTCGCAGGCGCCACCCATTTCAAATTTTCATTATTTTGTTCACAGAAACCTTCTCGGGAGTATTCTCATCAGCTCTTTAAAACTTTATAGCACTCTGATGAAAGGCGTCGAACCGCATCTGACTTTCATTTTTTGAAATATACCGTATGTAGAGCAGAATCGCAACCCCCCTTACGTCACCCTTACGAACTTAAAAAAAAGATTATTTTACAGAAACCTCTACTGGAGTCAGGGGCGGAACTACAGTGCCGCCAGACCCCGCATTGCGGGGGGGGGGGGGGGGGGGGGCCCGGGACGTTTAGGGGCCCGCAGCCGACCATAATCCATTTTTTTACAGTTAAAAAAAAATAATCTTCTTTCATTTTTGACTTCATGGTTGTTTTGTAAAAAGAATACTGTAGCTGCGGTTGGATTATCTTTATTCTATAGACACCATCTCAAGTCCTCTTTCTCCTACAATCAAACACACTCTGTTGTCGGCAAAATTCTTTTAAAAATACACCCATCGAGTGAAAGATACGCAATTGTTCAAACCACTTCCATGACTTGTTTCCCTTTTTTAAATAGTCAAATATGTGTGCTCTTAAGCACCTTTTAATAAATTTGAACTAAACAAATTAAAAAGCAATTACTTCCCTTAATTATTATTTAAAAAAAAAACATAATAAAGAATAACAAAGCATAAAAAGGAAATGCATTTAAAACTAACAATATAATAAGAAAAAAAAACATAAAAATAAACATAAGGCGAGAAACCATTACACATACACAGCTTTCATGCTTTATATTATTTCGACCGACTTACTCATGGATGCATCATAGCAAACAATGAAACATGTTACAACAGAGATTTCAAAACAGACTAATAGCAGTCACACAAATGAGCTGTTGTAACTTGTTTTTACTTTTTAATAAAAACTAAGTATTTTTAGTGATTTTATTTTTAAAAATTTCGAACAAGCCCGAAATGAGTATTCTGTGTTGGTATTTTCGTATATATATATATATATATATATATATATATATATATATATATATATATATATATATATATATATATATTATATATATGGGGCCCAAAAAATTCTTTGCGGGGTGGCCCTTTTTTTCTAGTTCCGCCACTGACTGGAGTGTTCTAATTAGTTCTTCAAAGTTTCATAGCACTCGGATGAACAGTGTCAGACCGCATTCGACTTTTATTTTCTATATATAGAGAAAAATCGCACCCTCCCGTGGTGCCGCCCTTGCGGAATTAAAAAAGATTTTTTTTGCAGAACCCTTCCCTGGAGTGTTCTAATCAACTCCCCAAACTTTCATGGCAATCGAATGAAAGATGTCAAACCCCAATTGGCTTTTATTTTTATATACCGTAATAAAGAAAAAACAAATTGCACCCTACCGGTGCGCCACCCCTGCAAATTTGAAAATGTTTTTGCGCAGAAACCTCCCCAGGAGTATTCTCAACTTCTTTCCAAAGTTTCATGGCGATCGTGTGAATGGTGTCACTGCAATTCACTTTTATTATTTTTATATACCATATATAGAGAAAAATCGCACCCTCTCATGGCGCCGCCCTTGTAAAATTAAAAATGATTTTTTCACAGAAACCTACCCTGGAGTGTTCTAATCAACTCCCCAAAGTTTCATAGCACTCGGATGAACTGTGTCAAACCAAAATTGACTTTTATTTTTATGTACGGTATATAAAAAAAAAATGCGCCCTACCGGGTCGCCATCCCTGCGGATTTGGAATTTTTTTTCGCAGAAATCTTCCCAGGAATTATCTCAACAACATCTCAAAGTTTCACGGTGAAGTGATGAGAGGTGTAGTAATGCATAAAAGACAGACAGACACACATACATTGGGAGTTTCATGGCAGGTGCGTTAACCCTCTAACCTATGCCACTTGTTTTATGTTTTATGCATCATTACATGTTTGAAAAGAACTTACGGAATAGACATCTGTGAATGTATTTGCATCACCCACTGTCAGTTGAACAGTGTAAACTAAGATCTGTTGGTTGTTTGACTTTACAGAAGCACTGATAGATACAGTTTGACCAACTGTAACTTGTGGATTGTCAAAGAGCCTCACAATTATTTCCACCCTTAGCTGTAATGAAGAACAAACAAAAATAATGTATGTTCTAGATATGAAGTGTGGTATTGGTGGGCATAAAATTATGTATGTATGATGATACTACTAAAGCTACTGTTTCATTAAGAAAATTGGCATAATATTTTAAGCAATCTTCTGTGAAAAAGCTTTGTACCCTATTAGCCGTGCTGTTGGTTGTATCGGCTCCTGTGTTGCAGACATATCCTAAGTCCAACACAGCTATGCTCATGAAATCACTCACATTATCACTGAAAAACAGAATGTGATGTAAAACATTTTTATTTATTTTTTAGACATCACTCTTTTTTTATTCCACGTTTTCTTTAACTTGCTTTCGCGTCTGTTTGTTTGTTTGGTTCTCCAATCAAATCTTGCGATCGAAATTTCGGGCACTTCCCAGTTAGCTAGCGCGCTGAAATTTTCAGGGAAGCTTTGTTTCCGATGACAATAGAATATTCAATTGTTATTATTACTAAATTGATCCATGGAAACATTTTATTGATCATTTTAGACCCCCTATATATTTGTACAAAAAACTTGGGAAAAGGGGACATAATCCAGTAATTGTAATTTGATGAAAACAAGGTTCGGTACTCTCCCTCTTTTGGCTTACTGAGTAGTGGTCACGCGGTGTTTGTGTACAAACAACCGGAACGTAACATCTGCTGGCCAGTATGGGGGAGACTATATGGTCGAGTGGTTGGGCACACGATTGCTAACCCGCTCGATACGGGTTCAAGGCACGTGTTTTTTACGAGTTGTCTTCGTTTACCCAAAAAAAAAGTGAATGCGAAAAGATAAAATCAATAGCAAGATTTTAATGCAAACAAACAGACAAAGACTAAAAAGTAGAAAATAATTATCATTAAAAAAGTTTTTAAAAACCCACGTTTTCTGATTGAACTAAAAAGTAGAAAATAAATACTATACATCACAATAATGCAAGCGATCACTCTACTATAAGCGATGAAAAACGTGGGGCGCCGTGATTTTCATACAGTTTCTAATACTGTTGAGTCTCTACAAGCTCCCTAATAAAAGTCAATAAGTATTATCTAATCAATAGTAATATAACTTTTACATCTTATATTAACAATGACCGATAAAAAACTTTTACTTCGGCACCCCACGTTTTTCATCGCTTATAGTAGAGTGATCGCTTGCATTATTGTGATGTATAGTATTTATTTTCTACTTTTTAGTTCAATCAGAAAACGTGGGTTT